TTTTTTTTTCTTAAATCATACTTTAGATGAAGGTTTACAGAACAAACTAGCTTCTCATTAAACAATTAGTACACCTGTTGTTCCATGACATTGGTTACCAGTCCCACAACATGTCAACACTCTCCCTTCTCGATCTTAGGTTCCCTGTTACCAGCTTTCCTATCCCTTCCTGCCTTCTAGTCCTTGCCCCTGGACTGGTGTGTCCCTTTAGTCTCATTTTGTTTTATGGGCCTGTCTGATCTTTGGCTGAAGGGTGAACCTCAGGAGTGACTTCATTACTGAGCTGAAAGGGTGTACAAGGTCCATACTCCAGGTTTCTCCAGTCTCTGTCAGGCCAGTAAGTCTGGTCTTTTTTTGCATTACAATTTTTTTCTACATTTTGGTCCAACCCTGGTCCAGGACCCTCTCTTGTGATCCCTGTCAAAGCAGTAAGTGGTGGTAGCCGGGCATGATCTAGTTGTGCTGGACTGACCAGAGTCAAAATCTTGACACTGCCCTGAGCTATGGGGACTTTCAGTGCCAACTGTGGTTGGTACTTGTTCAAAGGGACTCTTACTTTGATGTCGCATGAAATGGCAAGAAGTCTATTCCTATCTGAAGTGTGACTTTAAACCCCCATGCCTCTGGCCACACTTCCTCTTGGGGCTGGGAAACACTCCTCGCATCAAGAGGTTGCTTTAAAAAAACAAAGAAAACTGCCTCTGAAACTCTCAGACAGCTTTGCCTCGAGGGAACGTCTTTCTTCCACAGGTGTTGCTGCTGTTAAAATGGAATATGAAAAGCTATTTTCTCAGTGTAATGTAACGATACCACAGCTGTATATCTGCTGTGTTCTGGCTGGACTTAACGTATGCTAATTTAAGAAATAAATAATGCAGAATGAGAGACATGTTTTGGTTTTCATTCTCTTTCTGTCCTTGGCCAGGTGGAAACTTAAGAGCACGATGTGGGATGTGCCAGCATGCAGTCTCCTGAGCTCTCGAAGCTTCCCTCCAGGTGAGCAGCCTTCAGTGAGCGATCGTTTGTTCAAAAACTCAGAGAGGAGCCAGTCTTTCTAATAGGAACCAGAATTTTCCAAAAAGGCTTCAAATAGAGGTTCTCAGCATAGAATGATAGGGATGAAAAGTTATGGATATTAGGTATGCTGCTTGACTTTGAAAAGGGGGAAAATGGACATTTATTATTTATTATGGAGGCCCTTCCCTCGGCACTGGTGCTGGGCGCCTCACCCACATATCCAGGGAGCAGTGGACTAAAGATTGTATCTTAACCAGCAGGACTGCTTTAACCACCAGCTCTCCCTCCACCCCCAGCCTTCCAAGTACAGGCCCAGCAGCTAAAAGTCATTGTCCTAGATGATTTTTTTTTCCCTCTAAAGTGACGCTGTTAGGTGCCATCAAGTCGGTTGCATCTCATAGTGACCCTATGTGCAACACTGCCAGGTCCCATGCAATTCTCACATTGTTGCAACCACTGTCAATCCATCTCATTGAGGGTCTTCCTCTTTTTTGCTGACCTTCTGCTTTACCAAGCATGATGTCATTCTCCAGGGACTGATCCCT